AGCAATATTGATTTAAATAGTGTATGATCTTGTAATGAGCATCTCATAACACAGAAAAACACATGGACTAGATTAAGGTTGCATAGGCAGGCAACACCCTTCTCCAGCATTAGAAACCTCTGCAGCCTTAACTGTTCTTCTGATGGGCTCCAAAACTGTTCGTGCACAAATGAAGGGTCAGTGCCTAGAACTAGTTTGTATTTCAAGAGGGATTAAAAATCTTCTGCGGAAACTTGATGAATGGGAGCAAGCACCAAAAAGGGCATGGTGGTATGAGACCTGTATGTGTCAAGCCTTAACAGAGAATGCAGGCTCTGAGGTCCAAAGTGGTCAGAAAATTGCAAGAGACTGACACTTTATAATGCTTCTTGAGGACTGAAAGTATTAGTTTTTTGTGGAGGTGGATGACCACCCTGTAGTTTAATCTGACTACACAGGGTCAGCTCTGCTGAGGTGGGGTGAAGCTCCTCTGATGCTGCCATTGCTTCTGCCAGGTGTGTGTGTCCTGGGGGTGGGACTGTCCTTGTTTTCCTGAAGTCCATTTTTTACAGGGAGCAAATGTCTGTCAGACAGGAGTCTGAGTTTCTGTAAAAAAACAACCAGGCTGAGATAAATTCAGCGTCCTGTGGTGTCACTTCTCCCTGATGCTTCCTGCAGTACTTTTTGTCTCCCATCGTACCTGCCTGCATTCTTCACATTCAAAAAGCCACGTTTGATAAATCCATGGTGTAGACACTAAAATAGGTTTATTTTCAATGTTATTGGCTCCTGTTGTGTTTTTTTGCACTTCTCTCTCCTGTTGGGAGGTTATTAGGACTGTCTCTATGCAGCAGCGAGCACCCATGTATATAAGTGACTTTCTTCTGTTTTCAGTGAGCAGCAGAAAGTGCAGCACAACCACAGCCCGTTCACCCCCCCGCCTTTCCTGCCTGGAGCCTTTCCTTGCCATGTTTCCTGTTCACTGTGGAAACTACCCATAAAACCCAGCACCAGAGGCGTGGAAACACGCCACACTCCCAAAATACACTTGAGCCCCTGTAGAAAGATCAAGGAGGTCCAAGCTGCAGTAAAGCAAGTTTAGCATCAGGTCATGGCACCTCCATGTCTTGCTGCATGAAACTTCTGACTTGCACAGATTCATATGTAATATATAAGCTAAATGAAAATAACCTTTTAGTGAGACCTAAGGCCTCTGTGCATGAGAAGGTGGCTGCCCAGTGTGTGTGCATGTTCACTGTGTTTGATGTGCCATCTCCCCCACACCATTGCAGACATGCCATCTTTGCTCACTTTAAGGTGAAAACCTTCATCCCAAGCATCCCTGCCTAAACTTGTACAGGTCTGCATGCACAATGGTCAAATGGCATTTGGGAGGTTTGAGGCTTCACAGAACATAAGGCATGGCTGAAGAAATCAATGTCTGAAGGACAAAACTCAATATTGGTATTCTAGTCTCAGAAGATCTTTGAGGATAAAGCCTTTCCAACTCTGGTGTCCTGTTCTTTTCCAGATGTCGGTGAGCCAGCCACAGTCAGGAAGAGGTGCGCCTTGTTTACGCTGCAGAGGGATGTGCACAGGCTTTGAGCCACATTCTTGGAGGTAATGTCTTGCCCTTGATGGGCCCTGCCCCAATGCTGTCCCTTTGGTCCTGTCGATATTTGGACTCTTTGAGTGCAAAGAAGAACTGCAGAGCACTTGAGTGGTGTTGGGAGGTGCAGAGAGGATGCACTGTCTGGATAGGATAACTGCTGAGTTGAGAAGATGCTCTGCTGCCTGCTCTCCATCTCCCTTCCCTCACTGGTCCTGCTCTTTTACTTTTTTAAATTAAAATCTCATCCACAACTGCTTAAACCAAGCTGAGGCTCTCATGCAGTGGGTTTTTTCTGCTTTTGCTAACATTGCCTGCTCCCTGGGAGTTGAGACTATCTTTGCTAGGTTGGGTGCAGGTCTTGGCAGCAAGCTGTGGCTTGGGAAGAGGAGAAAGCTGGGGTGAGAGATGGCCCAGCCTGCAGAAGGGTCACCTGCCACGGGACCGTCGCCAGCACAGCCCTCTGTGGTTGGTGCTGTTCAGTGGTACGTTGGGACGGGGGCACAGTGCCAAAGCTGCTGCACACCGTGCTCGGCACGAGCCACCCGATGCCCTGCGCAGCGTGCGTGCTGGAGCGTGTATCCTTTGCCTGCACGGATCCTCTGCGTGCTGGCTTCCTAGCCTGTCAGGTTGTTTGGAAATGAGTTAGTGAAAACAAACATGTCCTTGCTTGCTTTGGAGGCAGGGAAATGCTGACCAAAAGGATAACCCTGCACTGTTGGTAGGAGTTGTGCCGAGTGCCTGGCTGTCTCCCTCCTTGAGGGCAAGCGTGGGTGCAGAGCTGGTGGGGTTAAACAAAGCCGCATTGGCAAGGGCTTGGTGCTGCATCCCGCTCGGCAGTGCCGTGGTGGCTGTTGCTGCTGACTGCCCCCATGGCTGAAATGCTGTGCTTAGTGCCAGAAACATCTTGGTGTTTGATACTTCACTTTCAGTTTTTCCTCTTAAAAACACTCATTTAGGTAAATAGCCACCAATATCAGTAGCTGGTGGGAGCTGACCAGTACTGTGTGTTCAGCTCCGGGCAGAGACCGTGAGCTGCTGCCCTGCCCTATCTGCTTGCACGCTGAAATGGGAGAAGCAGAGGGGGGCTTTGAAATGGAAGGCAGCTATCCAGATGTCATTAACTAAAAAAGAATTAATGCCCTCTGAGGCTGTCTTGCAAAACACTAGACTCTTTTCTGTCAGCCTGGAGAACTCCTGTTTGCTGGGGGCTGTGCAGCTGTGTCCTGCTGCAGTGGTGCGCAGCAGCCTGCAGTCTGCAGCTGTGCTGTCTGTGCTGCTGAAATGCTTCAGTAGGCTTCGCAATAGTGGCATGTAATTGTGTCCTGCAGCCTTCAGTTCTCAATTTCAATACCTCAGCTGCGTGGAAATCCAAACTTAAAACACTCATTTGGTTGAATCATACTTTTTTACTAAATTAAAGGCTGGTTTGAATCATAATT